TTTTTTTTCATATTGGCCACATACAACAGCAAACTATTATTTGTTTGTATGTTTTTACGAGGCTCATAGCTCTCCCTACTAAATGAAGTAATTACAGTAATGCTTTCACCACGTGGTTCTTAAATATCATTCAACAAGAATCACAATACCTGAAGTTCATGTTCATTAAACATGCCAATCCAATCTTTCTCTATAAGCTGTTGAAATCCCCTCATAAAATGGGAACTTTGTTGGCGTATCTGAAAATTATATCACGACATCATAATTACAGGAGAAAATGATCAAATTTGAAAACAAACTTAATAAATGAAAGAGGAAAACCCTTGCAACCTGAGAATTCAAACGATGGTTGGCTATAAGATGAATAAATGTAATGACATTCTCATTAGTAACACGTATACTTTTCCCTCCGGGAAGCAACTCTTCTTCTGTTTGCTCTCCATATTCATTGTTCACAATAACAAAGTACAATTCCAACTTTGAAGTATCACCTTCATAATGCTGTACATCAAACAAAAGGTAAATAAATAAATCAATAAATAACATGAAATTACACAGAACCACCCGATTGGCCATGAAATTGAGCCACAAAACAACAAAAGGTGATTATAATCTCATTAGACCTCAAAAAATAGTATAATCCTAATTTTATCCTACCATTTGTGTACACTTCATTTTCTTCAGTGATTATTCTACGGGAGATTTTCTTGCCTTGTAAAATGCAATGGAAAACTGAAACTTTTCCATTTGCATGGACATCCAAAGATGTCAAAAAATTTGTTTGGTTGACAAGAAGATAATATATACAGATTCAGTTATAACTTCTGGTTGGATAGGCAATAACAATGTTCAAACAATTCATCTCTTAGCTTCATCAATTTTGCAAATCAATGAAGCATAAGATTTCACTAAAAACTATTGCTCAAAGAAGAGAGCAAGGGAGAGGGAGAAATATCACCTTTAAGAAAATAAGGTGGCGATATAACTCTGGATCCAGGGAAGGTAAGTCATTCAAATAGTTGTACCTGCTCAACAAAATTTTGGATGCATCAAAATTAAATAGAGTAGAGAACACGTATTAGCATACACATCAAGAAACTAAGCAAATAAACATCATATTTAGTAAGAATTCAAGTTGAACATTGCACATGGAAATAAAAACACCATTCCAAGTGCCCAAAGTACAGATCACAATCAATAGATTTGAAAACTAGAATTCAAAACTAAAAAATATAACAGCTACTATGAGGCAATTTGGGACCCAAAGAGACTCATCTTTTATATGCAGAGATGGTCTTGAAATTCCATAGAACTATAATGTGTATGGAGATACATATAAAGCATGTGTGGATTTTTTCCACAACTTTTAGAAGGGAAGTGGGAGTGGGAGTGGGAGTATGGAGGAGAGAGAAAGAAAAGTGATGTAAAGTTGATCATCTGCAAGAAATTCTTTTTGATAAATTCTTGTGTTTTTGATAAATAACAATATACATTACGAATGCCACATGGGGTGCAACCTTACTTTTGCTTTAATTTGCTCAAGAAGAATGTTGCAAATGGTATATCAACAAGAATCCCTTCAAACATCGCCTGCAGTAATTACAAAGAGATATAATGTCCCACTGTAAAGCACCATAAGAGAACAAATATAGACAGCACAGAGAACAATTCAACTGTCATTTTTAACAATAGAATTCCTACGTAAATTAATTGAACAGATTCCAAGCAAAAAAGTGATTAATGAAGAACAAAAAGACAGCAAGAAAATTGTAGGATAAAGGAAAAGGCCTACTGAATCTGAAAAGTGATCAGTAAGAAAATATAAAACAATATGACGATAAAAGCAAAAAAATGATAGTGTTTGGTTTAGTTTTAGAATCATGATTTAAGAATGGAGTTGTATTTTGAGTTTGTGAGTTGAATCATGATTTGAAAAGAGAAAATTTGTTTGGTTATGAGTTTTGAATTGAGTTTTGAATTTTGAAATGAGTTTTGAAATAAAAAAGGTTGTTCCGTTATGAGACTTAATTCAAAAACTTATAACTCATGACCAAACACACAACTCAAAATTCTATAGAAAATTCATCAAAACTCATAACCAAACTCTTTAAAATTCAATTCAAAAAAATAATTATTGAAAAAGATAAATTTTTTATTTAAAAAATTCAAAAAATTACTAAAATATTTCTTTATTTTAAATATTAAAAAATATATATTATTTTTTGTTAAAAAAAATATTCAGCTAGTGCTTTAAAATTACTTTTGATTGTATATTTGATTGGATTTTTTTAATTGTTTTGTTTAAAAATATTTTTTTTATTTTTTAAAAAATTACTATAACAAATAAATTTTTATTTTAAATTTATTTTGTTAATTTGAAATAAATGACCAAATAATTTTCCATTTTGGTCAAAAACATAATTTATATTTAAAAAATATCAAAAATAAATAAATATATATTTCAAATAACAGGTGACAATTGCAAAAAAAAGAAAAAAAAAAAACATTGTTCTGGTCAATCGACCAAACGTCCGAGAGGATGTTCATGCGGATGACCGAGTAGACCTAAAAATTCAAAAACTATTTTGGAGGATGTCCGAACGGACGATCGGGCACATCCAAAATTTCAAAAACTCTTTGGTTATCAAATACGTTTTGAAATGTGTTTTGAAATGTGATTTGGAATCATATTTTGAAAACTATAATCAAATAGAGAGTTAGAATATAATGGTGGAATCATGATTTCAGAATAGAACCAAACAGAGTCATATTTTTTGGGTATTTAATTTGAGATAATCTAATATTTCCATTTATTATTTTGGAGTTAATATAGAAAACAGTAAATAAATAAACAAATAATAGGTTTTAGTTTTTGAAATTGCAGAATACAATTGTGTTGAAATTAAATAACTTAATATAGTAGATACTAGTTGTTGAAATTAAATAACTTAATATAGTAGATACTAGTTGCATGAATTTAACTTGTGAGATTTTTTTTTTTTAATATTTCCATCCAATTAGTATTTTTAATTAAGGAACATGAATAATTTTGACATGATAAATTAATGCAACACGAACCAAATCCAAATTTATAATAATACGAAAAATTAATAAATTAAGTCAGCATTTATAAATGGAAGAGTTGGGCCAAATTTTTAGAAAATTGATCGCTTCTTTTTTTCTGTTTTTGGTAGTGGGCCCGTAGGCCCATATTAGAAACTCCAGCCCAGCCTCCTAAGAGACCCAACCCCGTAACGGGACTGCTCCGTGTTAACGGTAGTTGCTTTAAACATTGAACAACAGCGTGCCACGTGTACACACGACCAACCTAGTGTTTTACCGAATTTTTTTCTTTTATTTTTTTTCAGAATGTCAAATGCGAGACTGGTCCATATTCACTGTGTGCCTGACCAATAAAGGTTATCATATACGAAGTAATTTTAGGAACCACCCCGCTACGTAGCTCGAGAGAATAGAGTTTGAATGGTTCGAATTTATTTTTCAAAAATGTTAGAGGTCTTAAAAATTTTATCAAAAATTTTACCAAATGTCTCACATGGCTGTGGGATCCACATGAGACCCATATTGTGTGGGTCCCACACCTATGTGAGACATTTGGTAAAACTTTTGGTAGAATATTTGGGGTCTCTCTAGCATTACTCTTTTTTTAATTTTGATTTTGATCCAGATCTAAAGATGATTTTGATCTAAAGGTGAATAAATATTTGTTGGTGATGATTTTGATCTCTTTTTCTTCTTCCTGGGTTTGAGGAGAGAGAGGGAGAGAGAGAGGGGGGCTGTGGCTATGTGAAGAAAAAAAGGAGGAAGAAGGAAAAACAAAGAGTAAAATTACTAGATTATAACGGGGTGGTTCAGATCCAAATCAGAGGGGGTGGTTCAGAATAGAGTTCGAGGAAGAAGAAAACAGACATCTTCATCAACATTATCATCATCATCAACAATTTTTTTCCGCAGTTTAGATCCAGATCCAAATCAACTAGAAAAAAAAAAAAAGAGTTGAGAAAGCAGAGGCGATCGGCGATACAAAACAGAGGCGATCGGTGATCGGCGTCTTTCTTCTCTTCCATCACTGCCATCACCGTCGAGCGATCTTCCTTCTCTTCCATCACCTTCGATCTTCTCTTCCTCCTTCAGAGAAGAGGAAGTAGAGGCGATCGGCGATACAAAACAGAGGCGATCGGTGATCGGCGTCTTTATTCTCTTCCATCACTGCCATCACCGTCGAGCGATCTTCCTTCTCTTCCATAACGGGGTGGTTCAGAATAGAGTTCGAGGAAGAAGAAAACAGACATCTTCATCAACATTATCATCATCATCAACAATTTTTTTCCGCAGTTTAGATCCAGATCCAAATCAACTAGAAAAAAAAAAAAAAGAGTTGAGAAAGCAGAGGCGATCGGCGATACAAAACAGAGGCGATCGGTGATCGGCGTCTTTCTTCTCTTCCATCACTGCCATCACCGTCGAGCGATCTTCCTTCTCTTCCATCACCTTCGATCTTCTCTTCCTCCTTCTCTCTCACCTTTTCTCTCTTCCTCTCCTCTTCTCTTCTCTCTTCTCCCTCTCTCTTTCCTCTTCTCTGCCAACTGTATTCGAAAGCAAGAAAAGAAAAAAAAAATACCCAAAACGACGTCGTTTTGGGTATTTGAGCTAATTTCAAGCCACATGTTTCGAGCTACGAAGCTTTTTCCTTTTAGGAATTTTGTTAATAACAGCTGGTATACTTGACTCATTAAATAATTGAATAAATTATAAATACACCTCCTGATATTTACTTAAAATACGAATTGTTCTTTGTGATTTGAAAAATTATAAATACCTCTCTGTCAAAATTTTTTATTTAACATAGTTAATCGAAAAAGTGAAATTTCTAACTATTCACCTATACAATGATAAAATTATTTAAATTATTAATTGAAATAAAATTTTAATATTATTAGAAATTGTTAATTAACTTGATAATTTATTAATAAAATGACTTATTTGTTATGAAATTATAAACTTTAGGGACATAATGTAATTTCTAAAACTACAGAGAATAATTTATAATTTAAGTAAATCCCAGGATATGTATTTGTAATTTATCCTAAATAATTTGTTGTCAAATGCATATGAAATTAAAATATATAGTAAAAAAATTTATCTACATGTGTGAGTGTATCACTGAGTTATTACTATTTTTGACAATTTGATAGGTGTAAAATTAGGAAAATGCCTCGTAGCTCGATTTTTAAGGCTCGAGTTTGGCTCGACAGGCTGTCTTTTTTCTTTTTTTTTTTTCTTTTTCTTCTTTATTTCTTTCCCCTCCATTCGAACACAGAGACGGAGAGGGAAGAGAAGAAGGTCGCCCAGCCCGTCGCCCCCGATCGCCCAGCCCTCGCCTAGCTCGTCGCCGCCGATCTCCCAGCCCGTCGCCCAGCTCCGATCGTCGCAGCAGCCTTCTCCTCCTCCTTCCTCCTTCCTAACTTCTTCTTCTCTTACTTTTTTTTTTTTTTTGGATGGTAAACAAACTCTTTATGATTAACTACTCTGCACGTGGATTTTTATGATTAATTTGATTTGTTAGTTAATGGATATATCATGTATGACTGTTTACAAATTTGAATATGTATATGAATCTATTTCTGATTTGAAATTCTGATTTTGAAATATGATATGAGATATCATTCATTAAAACCTTTACTTTATTGTTAGTCATCGAGTTCTGGCTCACTGTTTATATATATGTATGTAGGTGATCAAGTGTGTGACCAGGCTTAAAGGCGTCTGCCTGGAATATGTTTTTATCAACCAATCTATGTGCCTCCTGTGGAGGTTCTGGATATGTTAAGTGGTCAAGGTTATGTGATCAAAGTTTAAGTTTTTGTTTATTCTGTAATTAGAGCTAAGTCCTTTTTGTCTAGTCTGTATATATAATGACGTAAGGACAATGTGTAATTATATATATATATAAAGTTAAAAAAAAAATTATTTCATATAAGTCTGCATAACTCAATGGACAATGTATGTTTAATAGTTGCTTCTGCCAACCCCTAATTTTTTAATTCTATTTGAGAGGCTTTCGGTAATCTTAAGATTATTGGTCGGTTATAATGCTAAATCTATAGGGACAAAGTTGAATCGTGACAATTTTATAATAAATATTTTAAGTGGAACCCACTCTTACATAACACATATTTTAATATACATCTTAATTACACCATTAGAGCACACATTCACTCTCTAAGCTAAAAACATACACAAATGAGTCCCACTTTTTATATTTTTTTTATCATATAACACTGTAGCAAACAATTTTAACAATATCATTAGAGATACTCTTCACTATGAAACCTTAGCCAACACCCCACCAATGAGGGAGAGGGAGGGGTTAGTAGTTAGTTAGTACGAAAATGAAACAACAAAGGGTACTAAACTTTTCTTTATAGGATTTGAATATGTAACCTCACATCACAAAGTAGTATTACACAAGTCGAATGCCTTGCTTCATGAAATTCTATCTAATTGAATTAAAAAAACCAAACATGTAAAATAACATTTTAAAATCAATATAGTTTTTTTTTTTGGTATTTAATTTTGAGATAATC